ACCTCTGGCACCTGTGCCATAGCCACCATTGGTCTATTCTATTCTGTTCTGTTCTATTCTATTTCTATTCCTATTCTATTCTATTCTATTCTATTCTATTCTATTCTATTCTATTCCTTATGGAAGTTTGTCATTAAATTATTAGAATTTACTACAGACTATGTTTACCAATGTGGAATGTGTCAAGGGATTATGTGACTTTACTGCTATTTTTCATGCCCCTGAAGATTTGTAAGAGACCAAAACTTTTGCTTTATAATTTTAAATGCATATACTTGATCCAGGTAACATTTCAAATTTGCATTGATAATCCAAGAGTTCCTTAATCAATTTCATATAAGTGCTTGAATGACATGTTATCCATATGAATACAAATACTTGATAAATCTATAAACAATCCAAATTTGTACAATTAAAGAAATTGCACTTCACAATCAACTATAATATTTTTGCACTCAAAACACAAAACTCTATGCCTCTGAGACTTCCCAAATCATAAGTGGATTAATCAGAAAATACTCATCATGTCTTTTGGAACCTAAAGGTGCTTTTTCAAAGGCAACTGGACTTGCTTTGTTTTTGTTTCTTCTGATTGATTCTCCATCATTCAGTCAGAATTGAAGCCTTGGATAGAAGTGAAACATCTTCAAGCAAAAACAAAGGAAGTCCAGTTGCCATGACCTAGATGACTGAGAATCTCTGTAGATATGTCTGGTAGAAGTTTGTGTCTGGAAGAAACCAAGAGTTGGAAATGTTTGCATTTCTTCCTGCAATATGTAGCAGGCTACCAGGGTCCTTTTCTTATGTATTTCTGAAAAATATATTGATCTGAACACACAAAATTCCAAATCAAAAAGTTGTATATTCAAAGAAAGAGAGGTATCTTGTCCATAGCTTTCCTTATCTCTCTTTGAGAATTAAGCACATGCTTTCACAAGTCTGCTCCTAGGTAAAACTATAGCTAGGCAAACCACAAAGGGAAAGTCTCGACCTTGTTGTTGTTAATTGCAAAGTCGTGTCCGACCCATCGCGACCCCATGGACAATGTTCCTCCAGGTCTTCCTGTCCTCTACCTACAGGCAGTCTTCAACTTACAACCATTCATTTAGCGACTATTCAGAATTATAATGGCACTGAAAAAAGGCATTTATGACCATTTTCCATACTTACCACTGTTGCAGTATCTCCATGGTCATGTGATCAAAATTCAGACATTTGACAACTGGCTCATATTTATGACAGTTGCAATATCCCAGAGTCATGTGATCACTTTTTGCAACCTTCTGATAAGCAAAGTTAATGGAAAAGCCAGTTCACTTTGTAAATATGTGACTAACTTAACTACAGTGACTCACTTAATTAACTGTCACAAGAAGATGGTAAAATGGGACAAAACTCATTAAGTAACTGTCTCATTTAGCCATAAAAGATGGACAGTGTTTAATATTCATATGTTATGTATATGTAGGGGTGCAGGTCTATACCAGTGATGGCAAACCTTTTAGAGACCGAGTGCCCAAAAACTGGCCCCGCCCCTGCCCCTGCTCCACCCCATCCCCCGCCCCGCCTGCCCGCAGGGCCACTCACTGCCTCCAGGGCCTGTCGCAAATTACCCAGGCAGCCTAGCAATGCTATGGTGGTCATGCCTTCTGCTCACGCCCTGCAGCATCAACTGTGCACAATGGGGTGTGAGGGCAGAGTCTTGTCTACGCTGCCTGGCTGCCATGTCCTTGGCTGTGCTCCTCTATGTGGGCCACGCTCAAGGGCGACACTCCTTCAGGGGGGCTGCTGGAGAGGAGGGGGTCACGGGGGGAGGCAAGGCTGGGGCAACAGCACGTGTGCCCACAGAGAGGGCTTTGAGTGCCACCTCTGGCACCCGTGCCATAGGTTCGCCACCACTGGTCTATACATATGTTGTATATACTATGTATGTGTTGTATATAGTATGTTTAGGTGTGTGTCATATATGTGTTTACTTTGAAAGCGGACAACTAAATTTCATTTTTGATGTGTGTCGTGCCCACAGTAAAAAATGACAATAAAGGTTGCCTTGCCCTGTCTTGCCTTGCCTTGCCTTATCTAAAATATTGGGCTGAATTGTGATCGTAAATCTGGACTTCTTATACTTGGCCTTAACTTCTGATGCTTTGATAGATACATTCAGAGAGTTTTCTTGACAACAATATGGAAGTAGTTTCACATTGCTTCCTTCCATGATATAACTTTTTTTACTTCTTAGTCTATCATAAGGTGCTTGGTTTTTCAGATTATCTCTTTCTCAAAAAAAAAATCTTAATTTTTCATTGTAGATAAGGATTATTACTGAGACTCTACATTAGGGTCTTCCCTATTCCCTTTAAGACAAAATAGGTTCACTAAATTTAAGATATTTTAGAGGTTCTATTCCAAAAATAGAAGTGTCCTAAATGACCGAATCATTCTTGTTACAGATGGATTCCTATAATACCTATTTATTGTGAATCTTAGAACATTTGAAACTTAGGTTAGGATTGGATTGAAGTAAGTTTTGGTCCAGGCACAATTGGACATTCCTTTGCTTAAAGGATTAATTTAGCAAGTGGTAGGAGAGTCTGCAATTATAATGTTCAATTCACAAAAGTGTACAGCATATTGGACATATGGGATATTAAAAGACTACAGGTGTACAAGGAAAATTTTCCAGACAAATTGCCAATCAAGAATGCTCAAGAGACATCTTTCTACTACAGCAGTTTTCTTCTTAAAAAAAAAAAACCGTTAACATTAGCTACAGATTTTTCTTTTGCGGTGAACATAGCAAGAAACCTCTTTACATTTTTACTTTGGGTTTGAAATTAAAGCAGGGAACCTGGTGACAGATTTTTGCACAGGGTACAAAGGACAAATGGAAGACATCAAAATATTTTAGTACACAAAATTATTTATAGGAAAAAATAGGGAACTCAGGTATAGGCACTTAACTAAAATATAATCTAACACAACTATTGAAAAACATACATTATTGTGGAGTAACTACTTTATAATAAAGGATTTAACTCTTTAGATACTCTCTCATATTACAGGTTTACAAAGAAGAAATGGGAGTATTAAAGCTTATGTCTATGGACTGAAAAAAAAACAACCAATAATCACAAGAACAAAAGCATGTATTATAAGAGAAATGATAAGGGTAGATAGAGAATAAAAGATAAAAATAAGGATTCTAAATTTAAAAAATGCTTTCCTCCATCTTTTCAACAACCCAATCCACTCAGCTGTCAGTGTAAATAAAATACATGTGATACTGAACCTTATCTACTTAGGAGTACTTGTGCATGTGTGTATTCATTTTCTTTCATTATTTTTAAATGCAGTGTCAGCATGTGTATAAAAATTTAATTAATTAACCAATTAACTTGCAGTCTTTGTTTTGCCTGGGTTCTTATAACTGTGCTTTGAAATTGAAATAATATCACGTTGCTAAAGAAAAATACTTTTACAGACAGAATTAGGTCAAGGAAGAAATTGCAGAGGGACTAAACAAAAATGAAAAAAATTGTCTTTGATGTCTTCCATTTAAGAATAAAATTATACAGGAAAAAATGCTTCATACCTCTTCCTTTAGTCATCAATTTCATTGTTTATCTGGAGATGCTGAACCCAGAAAAATTATGATTATTCCTCAAGGTGGGAATAGTATCACCCGTTGATGTCCGTATTTCTTGGAAGTTTAAATGATGCCATTAAATTAGTAGCCTTATTATATATACCTATTCATTGTTCTTTAGAGAAAGGTACAAAAGAACTTCTGCAATTAAATGATACAACCTTGATAGAATAGTAGAAATCCAGAATCACTGTGAAAGCGATAACATTCTAGGGTCCATTTTTTGGGTAAAATAACCCAAGAAAAATCTTATATTCATCCTTTTGCAAGACTGCTGTATTCATTTAAGTGTTCATAACTAACAAGCCATCCTGTTTAGCAATTATGGAGAAAATTACCATAATGCATTTGGAGGATACCAAATGTGGCAACAGAATAGAGCAGTGGTTCTCAACCTTTCTAATGCCGTGACTCCATAATACAGTTCCCCATGTTGTGGTGACCCCCAAGTGGGTGTGGCCACCAATAAGAGGGAGTAGGACAGCTAGGGAAAAGGGAAAAAAATGGCGGACAGCGTGGTTGGCAACCCCCATGAAATGGTCGTTTGACCCCAAATGGGGTCCCGACCCACAGGTTGAGAACCACTGGAATAGAGAGAGAGAAAAATGGATGTACCTAAGTACTCCCATATGTGAGAATATGCACTTGAACAAGCAACTATGCTTATAAACCTAAAATTACACAAGGCAAAATAAAAAATATTCAACTACATCACATCTTCTCCAAATTAATACAGCATTTTCAATATAATAAAGAAATATTTTTTTAAAAAAACCAGTATTATGACCATCAGGTAGTCAACTCTGAAGTTTAGAGATAAAGAAAATTTGAGGACATATATGTGTGTGTGTGTGTGTGTGTGTGTGTGTGTGTGTGTGTGTAATTGATTGGAGTTTTTCCTCAATAACACAGATTCTGTGTATGTGCACACGAACACATATAAAATTTCTATGTCAAAGTAATTGAACAAAAACTCCGATCAATTTCTGTCACATGTGAAGACTAAGAAATCTTGGTGTAATTTATAAAGACTTCTGTTAACCAGGTAGGTTGTCTACAGTCTATTTTCAACCTAGTACGCCATGAAGCAAATCTAGAATTGATGAGAGCTTGTCTGTCAACGGTTGAATCAAGCCTCAAATAACCCAATCCCTGAGCTTTCTGTGATGCAATTTGGTGATTAGAGCAATGTAAAAAGATTAGCAGTTTGGCGATTAGAGCAATATGAGAAGATAAGCAAGCCAATTTAAAACTGACAGTTCAGTGTAAATTGAAGCATGAGTTGCCCAAATGAAGCAACCATGCTGAAACATTCAAGAATGTCATTTTTCTAGCAGAAAAAAAAATGTAATACCTTGCGCTCATGACTTCTTGTGCCACCAGAAGGATTCTGCTTCAGAAAGCCTGCTGTTGTGGACCATCTTGTGGGGTTTTTTCGTGAAGGCTCTTCTGAAGTAAAATTGGTATCGCTGATTGATAAGGAGAGGCCCACTAATGCTGGGTCACTGCTGCGCCGTACATGAAGTGGCATATCTGAGGAGATAAAAACAAAAAGAAACGGTGAGGCAAGATTTTTCCAACAAAGGGAGAGACTCATACTGTTCTTATTTGGAAACCAAATGGTTATAATCTCCAATCTGCAGGATACAAAAAAGTCCCAATTAGTTATCTAATGAAATCAATGGAAGAATACATTGCTCAAAGGCCAGAAATCCTGCTTTATAGGATCTAAGCAATCAGTGGGTGATGGCAGAATTAAAAAAAATAAGTTAAATTCAATTAATATACTACTTTGTGTATTTAATAATTCTCCCCTTCTGTTGCATCAATTTAACTTAGCAACTGTTCAGTTACATTAATTATTCCGGTATAGCTACTGTTTAAAGTTACAACAGATCCCCCTACATCCAGTTTTGATGTACGTACACACACACACACACACACACACACACACACATACACACACACACACATCCTGCAGTCACATGAACACACTTGGATATTTAGAAACCAACTTTTAGGGCCAGTTGCAGCATTTTGTGATTTTGTGAGATGATTTATGACAGTTTTTCCTCAGAAACCAATTTTCCAGATGGTTTCCATCAAAAAATGCCCATGCAAATGCACTGATACACTTAATGACCACAATGTTCGTTTAATAACTACCATGAAAAAGATCATAACATTAGTCACATAAGCCTCAACTTACAACCACCATCACTTATGATGGAAATTCCAGACTCCATTACAGCCATAAATCAAGGACTACTTGTAATGTGATTATAATTTTTTTGAGAAGTTTTTTTGACTCAAAGCTTTAATGGGTTATATACAACCCTGGGTTGGATTGTACTCCCTTTTTTTAAGCACCCAACTTCCTTGAACAAACAATATGAAGTTCTGAATATTCCCTCACTTATTTATAAAATTCAAAAGGAAGATACAGTATTTTAACCAAAAACAATCACACTGATCTTTTATAAAGTGACAGTGACTACTGGCATGATGTATCTAAAGTCTCTGGATGATTCAGAATAATATTTTCCCCTTCTAAACAAATGAGGAGAGCATCACGTAAAATGAGGACCCAGATTGTTGGGGGCAATGTAAATATATATATACATTGCTTACTGGTGTACACCGCTTAAAGAGTGCTTGCACTTAAAGTGGTATATAAGTCTCATAAATAAATAAATAAATAAATCATTTGTGTTTACAAGCAATTTGGCTCAGTCCTTATTCACACTAAAGGATATATACATAGCTAAGAGCATGCTTCCATCATACTATTCATTACTGTACAGTCTCTAAATGTATAATAAACTTGGTTTTATGTTACAATCTTCCTTATGATTCCTGTCCCTAAAATAGAATATTGTCGATACAATTTACAAAAACACCACAACAATCATCTTCCGTGGGTAAATATTGTAGAACTGCAACACCAACATCTTTTACTATCAGTCATTCATAAGCAATTTCTGGATCAGGTTATTTCGCATGGATTGCAGATTCACCCTGCATACATAAGGACGAAAACAAAAGCAGGGCCTATTAATTGTGCTGCTCCTTTTTACAGTGGATCACCTTTTAGAAATAATTCAGGGGCTTACTAAACTATGTCCTGGAAAAATTAGGATATTTCAAAAATATTATGAGGCAATTAGTCACTACATCTCTGCAGCATGTTGTTTTTTAAAAAGTTATGTAAGTTGCAAAAAGGGGGCTGGAGCTATCAGACTTTCTTACAAAGCCCAATTTTAAATAAGCATATAAATTCAAGAGAGTTTGATCTTCTCTTTCCAAAGTTTGTTTAAGCCTATGATAATCACAATTGATTTGATCTTGTATTATCTAACTTTGGGAGGACAAAACAATTGATGTTACACAGTTGTGGGCATTTATATAATACCTATTTTATTGGAGTAAAAGAGATTGCACCATTAACCATTATGTACAATGATCATAATCTTTTTCAAGCCCTTTTTAGATAGGACTATTCATGCCTTGATCAGGACTGAAAATCCCATTGTAACTGGCAGAAAGACAACAGGATACCATAGTTTCGATCATAATGTTTTATATAAGCAAAGATTATTGCTACACTGAGTATTTATTGAATAGTGTGATACTGGGTCTTTTAAATTTATTTGTCCACAACACAGCACCCAAGCAAAACCTCAGCTCTCAGATATTTTACTTGGGAAGGAGAAAAGTAAGTGAAATAAAAAAATAAAATTTATTTTCACTACACTATCTCCCTGTCCTGCTTAAACACCATATATTTTTATTGTACTTCCAAGACGTTCAGTACAGGAAATGAACTTTCAAGAAACATGTTTCTAGCCATGACGGAAAATGTAATATAAAAATGGAACATCTCTATGGAGTTCTCTGACGTCACGGTTGTCCCAAAGGTGATTTTAAAAGGGCCACTGGACTTTCTTGGTTTTTCTTGAAGATGTTTTAATTTTCATCCAGAACTGACTAAGATAAGAAGTGAAATGTCTTCAAGAAAAAACAAGAAAATCCAGTTTCCTTTTTAAAAGCACCTTTGGGACATAAAAATGGAATACAAATAATTATATTCCTGTGCAGGTATATTATTCTTACCTAACAGCATACAATTTATGTGCATGCAATTTATGAGATTGTTAAACATTTTAATCAGCTTTATTTTTATGTTCAAACCAAGTCCATAAGTCTGTATTCTTTGACGCATATTTCCATCAACTAATGCAACCAAACATTTGAATACAGGCAATGTTCCAAAACCAAAGTGGACTTTTTGAAACCGAGGGGTAATTTTTATATTATTATTTTAGTATTCAAGATCCATAAAAAAGTGTTAATGGGCCATTAGAGGCTTTCAGACCATTAATTGTCCCAAATGTGGGAATATGCTCAGAAAAGTTATTTTCTAATTCTTTTATAAAGCTACACAAGCTGTGCAAATATTGTTGTGCACTGTGTGAAGGAATGCCTATTTTTGTGAATGCTTAATGTGCTGTCATTTATTTCCCCAGATGGCCATAATTTAACCAATATTATTTCCCTTTTAAAAATCATTATTTTTAATTATTAAAAAACCCAAATGTTTTTAGATAAAGCAAGGGATGTATGATGGAATAACTCAAGAGAGTTGAACGTGGTTTGTATGTGTGTGTGTGTCCATGTGTGGGAGGTTTTTTGGCTCCACATATTCTTTTCAAATTATCAGAAATATACAGAATTTTATACATATGACCACACTATATCTTACATTAAAATGTAATAATATCAGTTGTTTTATTCCCAATTTCCAATCTGTTTTTGCTCCAATGACACTCTGCCATAAAGGTATACTGTATATATATTCCTTTATATTGTGGCATCCCATCTCCATTTTTTCTCATATACTTATTAAAAAATTACTTCTGCATATTTGCAGGTCTGTTTATGTGTAAATTATGGAAGATTTAGAGGGAATATTTAATGTATATGCTTCTTGATCAGAGTTCTCTATCCTATTTCCCAGTTCAATTCCTTCTAGACATCAAAAATAGAGCAATAAAAGTAATTTTAAAAATCCATATCCTTATCCAGATTTAAATATTTAACTCTGCATATTTTTGCTGGACATCTGCCTAAAGACCTCAAAATTATAACATGTAAAAAGAAATAAAAAGCAATGAAGCCTGTAATAATACCATCACTGATTAGCTAATGATTCCCAAACTCTCATTTGAAATTCCTCAAGAACAGATGCTAATATAATGAAACAAATACTGCTTTGCTGCTTCTGAATAACAGAATAAAAGAGTTGGAATGGACCTTGGAGGTCTTTTAGTTCAACTCCTTGCTCAACCAGATGACCCTATACCATTTCAGACAAATGGTTGTATAATCTCTTCTTAAAAACCTCCAAGGATGGAGCACCCACAACTTCTGGAGGCAAGCTTTCAAACTGGTTAAGTGCTTTTTCTTCAAGGTCCTTGGTGCTCTCTGAATTTGGTTGCCTCCCTGCAGACACTTTACCACATATCTACAAAACATCATCAAAGCCAGAAGAGAGTGGGGCAGAAAGCCATTGGTGAGCCAGAGCAAGCCACTTGTATATAAACTGAGAGCAAACCCCATTCTCCTACAGCACTGATGATGTTACCCGGTTGGGCAATGAAACATCTTTTCAAGTGTCCCTCTGCTCTCCCAAAAGATTTACGCATGTGGGTAATGAGAAGGTATGATGTAAAGTGAGTTTGCTGCCAGCTTATACTCCTCTCCTGAAGCTGAATCTATATTCAAATGTAAGTGGCATATACAAACAACATGCTACAAACAACAACAACAAAAAAAACAATTAGAATGCCTAGACTGGGGAAATATAATGCAGTACCTTTTTAAAAGGGGATTATTAAAAATAGGACAATTGTTTGAAGCCAGAATTACAGTAGTGGATATTCATGCAGACCAAAATACACAATTTTATATAAATAAAAATATTGTCCCATCAACTCTTTATCACTGATGCTACACCTATCTAGGTTTAATCAAAATCATTAATATTTTAATTAAATGACTGAATAGGAAACTGATATGTTGTGAAAGAATAAATCAGTGTCCAATAGCATTTTTTTCAAGAGTGCATCTGGAATTAAACTGCTCAATAAAAATTCTTGGAAAATACATGTGGCAAGTGGCTAAAGCTAACGCTATATCTGGAATTATAGGACTACCTTAAAGATCATGTTGAGGATAGGAAGGAGTGTTTGTAAAAATGATCTTGGGAACCTCTAGGAATCAATTCTTCTCTTGAAGAATTCTTTTCTGACTGTAGGACAAGAGCGAACACAGCTGGGAAGTAGAGTAAAATGTATCATCAGTTTAGAATCCCTGCACTAGCAAACACGACATCCAAGTCCAGCCCTTTGAATTCCATTGACACTGATCTAAGGCCAATTTAGCAATGACAGCTGTGTATAGGCTTCAATAAATCATTTATGCTGCAATCTACATGACTAATTCTGATTCTTTGCACCTGAGAGCGAAAATGT